CAGCTACATACATGACCAATTATATGTCACCAAAGATGGTGGGCTAATAACTCCTCAGGCAGTTCACTTGATCCCTTCTTTAATGTTGACCCATCCCCAATATTCCATCTCAATTTACTGAAGGAATCCTTTAATAATTATTAAAAGGAGATGTGTTTACAAACCACCAAATGCACTCTGGAATGAAAAGTGATGCTAAACTTGCCCCCACCTCAGTCAGGTAACCCTTTTTTCTTTAAAAAACAATGCTAATTGCTAAAGGGTCATATATGAGGCCTGCAGATCAATACACTCTTTTGTGTGTGTGAATGCATGTGTGTGTATGTATGTATGTATGTATGTATGTGTGTGTGTGTGTTCGTAACATTTTTCAACTGCCTTATTACTGTTTTCCTTCTTGCTAAGTATGGCAGCCCCCAGTAACTCAATAACTCCTAAATTCACTTTGCCTTTGATTTTAATGTGCTGAAGGAAATTTTTAAAGAAATGTACATATGTATGCATATGTAATACATATATGTGTCTAAATATAGTACATATAAGTACAAATGGTATGTGTATATATACATATATATATATACTATGCATCATATGTGCTTATATATGTGAGTATATAATATATATATGGAGAGAGAGAGAAAGAGAGAGAGAGAGAGAGAGAGAGAGAGAGAGAGAGAGAGAGAGAGAGAGAGAGAGAGAGAGAGAGAGAGAGAGAGAAAGTGAGTGAGTGAGTTTGGCATAGGGAAAAATTTCAGTTGTAAGTCTCAAAGGATGAAAATCTAGCAGATGATCTTTGCAGAAGTCTGTCCTCTCTAGTGAAGTGCAGGCCTTTGATAGGTAACACTGTAGTTGCCAAAGAACACCTTAGCATTGTTTAACCTGGGTGTTTCTGCTGTTGAGAAGCATCAGGAAGTCTCTCTTCAAGGATGTTCATTTACATCTGGTTAACAGCTTTTGTGATAGTGTAGTGGGCCATAATATGAAACATATGAAAATATATACCCTCTCAAGAGTTCTGTTAAAACAATTTATTAACACATTTGTGCCTTTTTTTCTTATTTAGCTATGTGGCTTTTGTCCTGCTTACTACCTCGGTAGTGTTTGTACCTGTGATTGTGCACAAAGTCATCTTTGTATATAATTAAAAGAGTACAAAAACGGGTTCATAAATCTATTCTTGAACTGGAATCTCCTTCATTATAGATTAGGGGGCTTGTAAAAATGCACCAGTGCACAATATGTGAGCAAGTGAAAATACAGTCAGAAGGAATTTGATGACAATTCATTATACATGATCCATTCATCTCAAGCAGCACTTTATCATCTGTTACAAATGGATGTGTGTGTGTGTGTGTGTGTGTGTGTGTTTTAACTAGTAATTTGAGGAAGACTACCTAGCTCTAGTGAAAGATGAATAAAAGGCAGTGGTGGCAGGGAGTAAGGGGTAGAGATGTGCATGGAATGAACAAGGGAACAGACAAAAAAATCAGAATGACAGAATCTGTGTTGGAAAGACACTCAGAGGCCATGTAGTCCAACCTACAGCTAAATAAGGGTCCCTTCTACAACTTAACTGGAGTATCACTCCAGTCTTTGTTGGAAGACATATGCTTTCAAGTAATGTTTCTTTACATGAAGCCCAAGTTTGTCTCTCTGCTACTCTCTCATTGCTTCTGGTTCAGCTCCATTGGGACCAAGCAAATTGGGTCTCCTCCCTCTTCCTATATGATAGCATGTTCAAATGTTTGAAGATAAGCTATTCTAGCTTTTCTCCACTCTTAACTGTGTTTTTTTTCTTTTTGGGGAGCCAATCAGGGTTAAGTGACTTGCCCAGGGTCACACAGCTAGTAAGTGTTAAGTGTCTGAGGTTGGATTTGAACTCAGTTCCTCCTGACTCCAATGCCAGAGCTCTATCCACTGTGCCATCTAGCTGCCCCTTAGTCTTTTTTTTTTTAAGTGAAAATTCTCAGATCCTTCAACTGATCTTCATATGGGATGATATGGAGTGTCCTCACTATCCTGGTTGCCCTCCTGTAAACATTCTCCAGTTTCTCATTATCATTCCTAAAATGTGGCACTCCAAATTGAACACTGTATCCCAGGCATGATCTGACAAGGGCAAAATACATCAGGACTATTAACCTCCCTAGTATTGAACAACATATATCTTTTAGCACTGTCCAAAATTCCTTTGGTTTTTTTGTTTTGGCTGCCATATGATGTTATTTTTTATTTATTTATTTTTAGGCAATTGGGGTTAAGTGACTTGCCCAGGGTCACACAGCTAGTTAAGTGTCAAGTGTTTGGTCTGAGGTCAGATTTGAACTCAGGTCCTCCTGACTTCAGGGCCAGTGCTCTATCCACTGCGCCACCTAGCTGCCCCTGCCATATGATGTTATTGACTCATATTGTGCTTCTGGGGTACTAAAACCCCCTGATCTTTTTCAGACAAACTTCTGCAGCCATGCCTTCCCTGTTTTCTCCTCATGAAGTTGTCTCTTTGAACCCAAGTATAAAATTTTACATTAATCCCTATTAGAGTTCATCCTCAGATTCAACCCAATATTCTAACCTGATGATGTCTTTCTGGATACTGACTATGCTATAAATGTTAGCTATCCTGCCTCATTTTATGTTATCTGCAATCTTTATATGCATGTTATCTATACTTTTGTCCAAGTCACTGGTAAAAGTTTTCAACACTATGGGGTCAAGCTCAGATCCCAGGAGCAATCCCACCAGAGATGTCCTTCCAAGCTGACATTGAACCATAAATGTATGCTCTTGGCCACCTTCATCTCTACATTTTGTTCATAAGAATAGCTTCATAAATTCTGTCTACAGTATTCTCCTGATCTACAAATCTAGCAACCCTTTCAAAAATTAAAATGAGGTTAGTCTGTTATTACTCCTCCTTGATGAACTCACACTAAATCTTTATGGGAACTGACCACTTCCTTTTCTAAATGTTTATATGCTATCTCTTTGATAACACTTTCTGTAATTTCCCCAAGAATTAAGTTTAGTTCACTGGCCTATAGTTTGTAGATGCCATTCTTCTCCTTTAAAAAAAAATGAGGCAAACACTCATTTCCCCCCAACCTTGTAGCACCCTCTCTGTCTCCACAGTCTTCCAGAAATTTTTGTTAGCATATCAATAATTACATTCATTTCAATTCAATAAGCATTTGATAAGCACTATTGTGCACAAAGTTTTATGGTGGGCACTAGGGATACAGAGTCAAAACTAAAATATCTACCAGTCTTTTCAGTACTCTAGGATGAAGCATTTATGGATCTGATGACCTGAACTTATCAAGGAAAGGAAGGAAGGAAAACAAGCATTTATTAAGCACCTGCTGTGTGCCAGGCACCATGCTAAGCACTTTACAAATATTTCTTTTCTTAGTGTCTCTCTGTTTACTTGGTTTTCAATTCCGTATTTGCCAATTTTATTCCATTTTCTCTGATCCAGTGCTATCTTCTTGGCAGAAAAGAAAACCCACAAAAGCAAAATACGAATTGAACAGCTTTATCTTCTCTGTGATCATTGTACCATCCACTCAGAATAGCACTCATATACTTTCTTTAATCATCCACTTTCTCCAAATAGCCTTTAAACCCCCTTTTTTACTGTCTTTTGCTCATCTTGCCAGCCTCAACTCATTCTCACTTGAGCACACTTGATACTGTTCTTACAGAACCATGCTACACACATTTATATTCATCCTTTATTACTTTCCCTTGCTTCCCTCTTCTGCATATATGTTTTTTTTTTAAATTCTGACTAGGAAAAAGAAAGTTGAGAAGTGTACTTTGCAAAAGGGAGATAATATTTGTGCATATTCTAAGTCCTTCTTGAGGTGGCAAGGTCTCTAATACTCATAGATTTGTGTGTGCAACCTGATTCCACTTCTGCTGGTCACTTCTCCCCTGTTTCTACCTCAAAACACTTAGCCAATGAGGTTATATTACCCAGAAGTATCTTATATATAAATACTTGTTGTAACCTGAGGGTTCATTTGACACCAAATCCAAATGTGATACTGATTCAGCAGTTAAGTATATGGTTAAAGAATATGAGCATTAGTAGAATACAGTCTCAAAATCACAGTGTGGCCATTATACACTAGACCTTCAAGTATACCCCCACACTATTTACATGGCTTTAGAATTATTTCTCTTCTGGTACAGTGCTTCTGTATTGTCAATCTTGGGCAGGAAAATGGGCAGGTGGAGAAAGCCATGGTGAACTATCCTTATCACTAATACACTGGCCACTTGATAGTCCAGACCCTGTCTGTTCCAGTAGAATGGACTTTTGGAAAACTATTTGGAAGGTGAAAGGGTGGGGAGAGAAATAAAAATGTTTTAAAGTTTTCCTTTCTTCTTTTGAAAAAATCATATCGATTAAATGCTTTTGCATAGCTAGTTGTAATGACAAATATCTTTGCAATTGCATTTTTACTGACCTCTAAAAGCCATCTTATTATGCTCAAGTTTACCAAATGTGCAGACATTTATCAAATGGACCATCAGTAGCTGGAGAAATGCAGTAGTACATCCAAGTTAAAATTTTTGCTTTGATTACTACAAATCCATGGAGCCCTTGGGTCCAGAGCTTCTACTGCAGTGTAGCTATTTGCAAATAGATTTTTATAGCACATTAGTGCTGGAGGAGATTCCAAAGAAAATAGTCCTTTTCAATATTAGAACCAGCTGTGACTTTCTTGTGCTGATGACTCATTCTCTCTCTCTCTCTCTCTCTCTCTCTCTCTCTCTCTCTCTCTCTCTCTCTCTCTCTCTCTCCCCCTCTCCTCCCCTTCTCCCTCCCTCCCTCCCTCCCTCTTTTTTTATTGGGTGGGAGAATGAGGCAAAAGACACACAGAGACTTATTCAAAACATTGTTTGTTTTGCAAAAGGTATCCTAGCCACAAGCCAACTTGGTCATTCCAATATGCAACTCATGTTTATATAACTTTTTTTTTCTCTTTTAACAGTTCCAATTATAAAAACAGAACCCACCGATGACTATGAGCCTGCTCAAACCTGTGGACCAATGAACCCAGGATTAAACCCTCTCTCTAAGCCATACTACAGTCAGCAGATCATGATGCCTCCTGATCCTGGTTCTTGCCTTGTGGCTGGCTTCACTTCCTGTCAGCAGAGAAACACTGTGATGTCATCTTCTCCCAACTCAAGCCCCAAGCTTCATGACCTTTCCTCTTCTGCTTACAACAAGTGTATCACGAATCCAGGCCACAGCCACCTAGGACTTCAACAGCCCGCTGGAGGTGTCCCCACTATCCAGGAAGTGCCAAGGTCTATAGTTGTACACCCAAGCTCTCCTGATCAGTCATCTCACATCATGCTGCAGCCGCAGGTGAGTCAACATCTGAGCAGTAGCTGTTCCCTTGGTTACCAACAAACACTCTATCCCAACAGTCCCTCTTCTCCAGTTCCATCCGTTACCCAAGAGTCAACCTATTTGCAGTCCTGCAGTCCAACTCACTCATCCATAATGGGTCAACAGCAGCACCAACTGCCGAAAGTTCAAAGAAATGAATCTCCAACCAATCAGCCACTGTCATTGCCAGAGTTGCATGAGGACAGTAATCATAATTTGGCCCCTATTCCCGTAACGATCAAGCGAGAACCTGAGGAATTGGACCAGTTGTACCTGGACGACGGTAAGTCCTCCACAGCTGTAGAGGCTTGCATTCCACCATGTTGCAGTATCAGTGAGTTTTTTTTTTTAACCATACCAGAATTCTGACAGGAGGAGTGTGTCCATTAACTGACTTGTGGAACTATGCACTGAGTTGCTCTGATAGTCTTCGTATGAAAACTAGTTAATTTTAGTTTCGTTTGCAGTAACAAAAAGATATTCTTTGCTGTGAGTCACCATGGAGCTAGCCGCATGACCAACAATTACATTGCAGTGAGCTTAACCACTTAGTCTTGGCTTACACCTCTGCCAGTGACCTGCACACCTGTCTAACTGCTGGACCATTGTCCCAGTGGTAATGCATTAAAACTCAGAATGGCCAAATCTGCTGGCTGAAACAAAATATTAACTGCTGAACTTTAGCTAGGCAAGTTCCAATTAGGACTGAGACCTATCCATAAGCATGGCTTTTGGCCCAGCTCTTTAGCCCCTTGGCATTTAAAAAACTACATTTCATTTAGTGACTCTTTCTCGAAGCTATCTAAAACAAAACCAAAAAAACCTCCACAACATTAAAATGCTGTGGTGAACTTGTCAGACCTTGGCTACCGAAGATTTATTATGTGAATAGAATGAAGGCATAATAAGAATTATGATTAAACAGCCTTTCTGAGCTATGATTTAGTGCTCACCACTGAGTATCCCCATAGCATTCTTAACCATCCCCTTCAACTCAACATGTAAGAGTCTTCAGAATAGAAATTGAATTGAATGTCACATATTAAAGGTTATTTTAAAAGGGAGAAGTTTTGTAACTACTGTAGACAAACTAATTGGTGCCCAAGAACATCTGAATTTGATTGTCTTTCAGGGAGAAATAACATCAGACAACTAATTCATTGTGCCTCATTTTATTTTATTCTTTTTAGAAAGACTTTTTTTTTCTATTTGAAGCAACATGACACTGAATTTGAATGAAAACAGAAGCATTGTTGACTTGTAATAACAGCATTCTCTTATTTGGTTCTGGGAAAACTCTAATTGAGGTACTAATCAGTCACATGACCAAAAAGCCTGAGGTGTTTTGCTCATTAAGAGTCCAATTCATTAATGCTTTTATGTGACTTGCACAACTCTGCTGCCAGTTGCTTGTGTGGGAGTTGCGGGGTTATTCATAAAGGAATAATTCCAGTTTATCTAGAATGCGAATTGTTTCACAAACCAAAAACTAGTCACATCTGGAAAATGTAAACCCCTTTCTCTACCCTCCCATTGCTCCCTTACCCCTCTACCTCCTACAAACCCCACTATCAACCACACTGAAAAACCAAAAACTCACATACCAGGAGAAGAAAGAAATCCCTCACAGGAGAAAGATAGCTTATGTGATTGAGCCATTTGCATTCATTCCCTTAGCCAGAGAGTAAAAGTGCCTTCTAATTGCCCTTCCAGAAAAATAGTCACTGGTGATGATTGTTTTCCTTCTGTTTCAGAAATTGTCCCCTCTCCTTCTATGTAGCTCCTCTTTTTTTTTTTTCGGTGGAGGGGAGGGATCTACAGAGGGCACTATCAGGAGACAAGGTGCTTCTTGAATTGTTTTTCTATTAATGATGATAGAATCACATTGATCTATTCATATTCATCTCATTCACATTTTATCCAATACTCTTCATTTTGGAGGGGCTATATTTGGCAGGGTAGGAGTGTGCAATCAAGGCTTGGAATAGAGAGAAGCTAGCTATCCTTCATAGGAACTGGATCCTAAACCATAGTTTTACTCAATTCAGCAAACATTTATTAAACACCAACGCTGTGCAGGCCACAAATAGCCACTGACTGCGTGAAAATTCTATTCTACTGACTGTTAATTTCTATTCTATTGACACCTGCACAGATAAGTAGACATAAAATAAATTCAGGTGGGAGAATACATCAACAATTCAGGGGATCAAGAAAGACTTCAAATTGGAGATGATATCTGGAACTGAGTCTTAAAAGTAATTATTAATGGCTAGTATTTACATAGTACTTTAAGGTTGGCAGAGAGCTTTTACAATTATTTTATTTTATCCTCATGACAACCCTGGGAGGCAGGTGCTACTATTATGCTCATTTTAGAGATGAGGAAACTGAGGCAGACAGCGGTTTAAACTGGTAAGTGTCTCAGGCTGCATTTGAACTCTGATCTTCCTTACTCCAACTCCAGCACTCTATTCACTTTTCTACCTAGCTGCCTCTATTATAAGAGACCTCATGGTGCTTGATTTTGGCCAGTGAGTAAATGAGCCACAGCAGATACATGCTGCTTATAAAAGAGATATAGATGATTTACTCATTCGGGTGAAAAATAGAACCCTGTGAAGTCTTTGTCCTACGAATTCCTAACTCCATAAGGTGAGCTTCATGGCTGCATTATCAAATAAAAATATTTTGCCCCAAATCATATAGTTTGGTGTGAAAGGAACTAGTCAGATGACTTCTTTTACCGTGTGAATTAGGTGTGTTTTTAAAGAATGTCTAATGAGTGTTTCTATAATATCAGAGTCATATTCCAACCCCATCCCAAGAAATATAGAAGACAAGTGATGATCCCCTGAAGAGGAAGCCACAGGGAAGATTAACACCCTACCTCCTGCCCACATTCCTTTTCTATCAGCTGCACTTAGTTCCAGAATTGTGTTTAACAATTTTCTGCTACCTACAAGTTGGTACAGTAAAAATGTTTTGATTTATCTATGTATGAACATACTATTTTATTTATTTTTCATTCAACTTGTCCTACATAACTACCTTCAGGCCCCACAAAGGTGAGTGGGGCTCAAAGTGGCCATGTCAATCATGACCCATTTGCTTATCCCTGTGGCGCCTTAGCACTTACACTCATCAGTGATAAACATGACTATACCTGACATCTCAGTGAAACTGAGCTTTGCCATAGGCAAGAGACCCTGGCTTTCATCCTAAACTTATTCTGTTTGTCTTTTCCAATAGGGCTTGATTTTTATGAAACGCTAGATTTGCAACTTGATGCTAGCCAGCTTTATGCTACCAAGCATGTAGGTATAAATGTCCTGTCCAAATTCCAGAAAAGATAGCTTGTCTTTTTCCATGGCATTTTCTGATGACTTTTGGATTTTTCCCTGCAGGATATCAGTCTCTGCAACCACTAGGAAGCATGTGTGACTTTCTTGGAGCTTTTTTTTTAAATGGCATAGGAAAGCTGCCTTCAGGGAAGTGAAGTGAAAGCCACCATTCAACTATTCTCATGTACTCAGTCATTCATTTATTTGTTCCCAAAATATTTATACAGTGCCTGCTATGTAGAAAGGGCTGTGCTAGGCATTCCTGGGCCTTGCTCCACCCGTGTAGCACTGCCAGGGCGTTGAGACACCTAGGTTCTAGTATCCATTCTGCTATTAAGCAGTTATGTGCAGGTCACTTTACTTGTCATCTGTAAGATGAGGATGTTGAACAATGGAAAGAATATTGGACTTGGAGTCAGAGGACATAGGTTTGGATCCTGGCTCTGCTATTTCACTACTGCTAAGACCTCAGGCAAGTCATATAACCTCTGTGGACCTTAGTTTCCTCATCTGTAAAATCAAGGGATGGATTACATGGCCCTTCTAAATCTGTGACATTAAGACCAGTGGATTTCTAAGATTGCTTCTAGATTTAGCATTCCATGATTCTAATTTTCTGCACCCTTTCAAGGCTACGCAGATACTTATGAGTTTGTGATCGTAGTTACGTAGAGATTTTCACCCTCTTTTTGTGTAAACCCAGGGTGGTGGAAAGGGGAACACAATTAGGTTGAATAACTCCCTTGAATTTTAGTAGCCTCTGCCTCATCCCTCAATGTGTCTTCTGGTGCTGATTCCAGCAAAGGATCTTGTATATGTTATTTGCAACACTGACTTAAAGATCAAGAAATAACATTCAGCTTTTTCCAAGGAGTTCAAAAGGAAAACCAGTTAAACTTCATCAATTTTTCCAATGTTTGAATTACCCAGCTACAGATTATATCCCTAAAATAAGAGCTCTCTAAAAGGGAAAACATATATAGGTCTAGGATAATAGCTTTAGAGCTGAAATAGACCTTAATAGTCAGAGGATTTATATGAGCACCACAATTGGTAGGATCATTGATCACTAGTTGGAAGGAAACTTTGAGGTCTCCTAATCTAACCCGCTCATTTTATGGATAAACAAACTGAGACTCAGTGAGTTGAAGTGACTTGCCCAAGGTCACACAGGTAAATAAGTAGCAAAATCTGGATTCAAACCCAAGTTCTTTGACTCCAAATTCAATGGTCTTTCTGTTGTACCACAATACCTTTTAAAAGTTACTCTCTTGTGTTCAGAGAATATAGATTTCATCTCAAAAGTTTCTTAAAACTATTCATTGCTCATTCTCTTTCTTTCCTAAACCCCTCCTTGTGGATATATGGATTTTTTTTGAGGATGAAGAAATGGAAATCAAAGATAAGCCCAATGAAGTTTAGTTTGTGATCTTGCAGATAATTCTTTCCCTTTTAAATTGTTTTTAGGCTTGAATTATAGTTTCCTATTTCCATTAGCTTTTAAATAATTCTCTACCTACTTATAAATACAAGGGTTTTTTTTTTCATTTTTCATTTTTCTTTGTTTCAGTTTCAATCTATGAGATAGATCACTGTGCTGTTCATGCCTTTTAGTCTGGATCAAGTCCAAGATTAGGCCAAATATTCTAAAGAACTCCCTAAGAAGCAGCTAACAGAGTTATGTAAATATCATGTATATAAAAATATATCTACTTATATGCATGCACACCATATTTGATCTTTCACCACTGTGCCAGCTGTATTTAGCTGAAGCCTCGAAAATTAAAACCTTAACAAGATGAAAAGTAAATGTTTGATTTAAATGTTTTCTTTGCAGAATAAGCAATGTTTCTTATCCTCCTGTATGGACAAAACGTCTACACCAGAGTTTGAAAATAGAGTTGTATTTGTATACACTGTGAAAAAAATCCTTTCTAAG